TGTAAAATGATAAATGTATTGACACAATAATTGATAATTACGATAATTTAAACGCACACATTTAAGTAAAAATAAAGAAATATTTAATTGATTGATTGACAAAAAACTATTTACTTGTTCACCACTTCTTATTCAGTGATTCTGATTTAAAAAAGTAACTAAGAATTCATTCATAGATTAAAATCGTAGTTGACATCAATTCAATCAATTTTAATATCAGTCAAAAACCAAAAAGAAAATACGGCAACTAAAGAGCTGTGTGTCACAAAGTCTACTATCATAAACTTTGTTCGGCAATAGAAAACTGAAATGCGAATGAATGGATCCCACTTTAGCAACGACGCATTTCTACGGATTTTTGTGAAAGATAAGGTCTTGTATTACATAAGAATATTCGAATACGTAACAAAAGGACTATTTATTTCAACTTGATATATTTCTTAATATAGTTTTAAAAATTTACGTCTTTTCTTAAAGAGTTCCAAAACACAAAATTCTAAATATCTGTATATGGTACGCTAAAAATATGTTAAGCACCCTAGGTTCTACCATACAATTATAATTTGTGCTTTACATAAAAATATTCTAGCATGCAAACGAGGCTTGACCGAGGGGTGAGGACTATTTAATTTAACTTTTAAATAATTGCTGTAATTTACTTAAATGTGATTAAAATTTAATTTGAAAACAATGATTTCGAAAGGAAGGATAGGCCCATCTAAATATTTTACTCATAACTTTTTCATACAAGAAAAAGTAGCGCATCTGTCATAACAGAAACGTCTTATCGTAACAACGTAACCAGCGTCGGATTTCGTAGTATAAATATCCTAATTGTACCATTATTTCATAGTTTTCATTATGTCATGTAGTTTAAAGTATCGTAATAATACTAAGCGCAAATATCATAATTTTACCTAAATGTCGACTTATATTATTATTGGGTCCTTTTACTTTTTAATTTTAACCCTACGATATCGAGAATTTCTGTATTGCACATGAGTACCGCGTTTTTGAAATAAAATTAAAATTAGCTCCCTTTCTGGTCATTCGGTGCTCGATCGATGCATTTATGTTGCATCCTTGATACAACTATAATGAGGGGCTACCACGATAAAAACTCTATGCTCCAGAAGCAATCGGTTTGAAAACAGAATTTTAAAATATTTTATGAATCAGATTTTCAGGTTCAGTTAAGCAGATATGGGTTCTTTTGTACTCTTTTCGTTTTATCCATACCAATATTCAAAATTAAACTTACATTAAGTTTTTGAGACAAAACTAAAACAGAAATAAAAATAAAACCGTCAAAAAACGTCTGAAATGAAACGTCAAACGTGATATAATTTTTTAAAATAGAATAATTTTATTTTCCAAGCATATTTTTGAGGGTCTGAATCCAACCCGGGCCTAATCTTTGTAACGTAACTAAACTAACTGTAAAATAAACCTTTAAAAATGCGTTTATATAATAATTTAATTGTAACAAAATTAGTATAAGTTTATTAACCGATGATATAATATCCCATGTTCCTTTTTAATCTTTGTATCGTAATTTTTGCATCTTTTACCACGCAACTAGACATATTTATGACAGGCAAATCTGTCCTGCGCGCGCACCACTCGTTGGCCCGAAACTGTAATTTTAGGGCCAGCGTACTGGTCCGTTTCAGTTGTTCGGCCGGCCCGGTCCCTACGATAGTAATATATATATATATATATATATATATATATATAGTTTCCCGCTTTCTCGTTTCATTGAGTTTCAAATCACGACGATTCTAAAAGTTTTCATTTCAATAAAATATGAAATAAAATCGAATCGTAATCTCGTAATCGATTATAACGATAATAGATTCTACGTAACATTTTAAATCTGTGGTAATTGTAATCGCGCAATATGCGTGTTCACAACACTAGTTTTAGAGGTCCATGAAATTGGCACCCGGAAATAATTATTAAAAATGCGACTATAGTCGCATTTTTAATAATTATTTCTGTATATAACATTTTTTTCATTAACATTTTCCGTTATATAACACAATTATAGTCAACCAAATCTAAGAAATACATTTTGACAGCTGTCAGAATTATTGCACCAAGCATGCCAAAAAATCGATATCGATTATTTAGAGTTGGTAATAATTTACAGTTTGGTTTCAATAATACCAGAATAAACTAAAAACGGATAATTTATAACACAAAATTTATCAGTTTCTTCGTATTCGTTGTCTTATTTCGAGAGGCAGTTATAAAAATTTAAGATTGAAACTAGTAGGGATGTCGTTGTTTATATTAATTATTATTTGATTTTCAATAATGTAGTCAAAATTAATGTCTCTTTCAAAGTCATCTATAATCATTTTTTGTTTTTTCTACCACTTTTGCCCAATCATCCTTTGTGACATGGGCACATGCTTCAACGAATGTTTTTATAGCATTGGGTGACAAACGAGCAGTGGCGAAGCTAGAGCTCCAAACTAGGGCAAGCCCAAGATATATATTGATAAAAATATATTGTTGTTTTTAACAGTTTTCTTCTCTTCACTCTTCAGTTTCATATTCAGTGATGTCAAGGACGTGTTTAACAAAGCACAGAAGCAAACAGAAGGCATACTCGTACTACTGCTCGATAGATTGTATTACATATCAGCAATTGCATAGCTTCGGTGGCTTTGAAGAAAACCGTTTGGGTTTGTTTGAGCGAAAGAAAAAGATATTTACACACCATACAATACATGAACAAAAGTAAAACATGAACAAAGTACAAACAAACTATGTACAAAATTAAAAAAAAATTATTTACATTCTAGATGGAATCGTCTCTCTTTCTTAAGGAAAGATTTAATTACGTCCACGTAAAATGTTGGTGAACGTTTTAATTGTACCAATAACTGTTTTTTAATTGCGATAATTGATAAGTCTGAAATACACTCTTGACCTTGTGTATTGTCTCAACAAAGTTTAAAGATTTCCTCTCCGATTATCACTTTAACACACTTCAATTCATCACAAGGAACACTATTATCCTCCATTTTCACCATAAACTTTTAAAAAGGATAAGTTTTCAACTCACGATATTACATCACTGAAGCTAAACACACAGAGTAAATAAACATTGAAATGAACTGAACTTGCAAATGTATTACCCGCGCGCCTAAAGCCTTGCTTTAAATCTCTATACTAATTGCTATATATACAATCATAGTTATACAGTGTGTAAGTGTAAACACCGTTGTCACTGAAACCATAGGTGGTTGGCTTTAATATAAAAATATTTATCCGATATTTTTTTAAAAAAAAAACGCTATTTTCTTTTATAAAATTAAAAAAAGTTTCTGTCCGACACCGTCCGTAAATTCATGGATACCCTATGCGCTCGAGTGACGTAATCACTGTATAGACCCCGCCCGCCCTTGCTACCTACACAACATTTCAATATAAACACAATGGTACACATAACCTATCATGAAACTTTTCCTTCATACTTTCACACTTGCTTAGGACAGATGAAAATTCCTACCGTTTGTGTTGCGTGACGAGTCCAAATTAATGTAAGTTAGATTTAACAACAAAGAAAATTAAACATTAATAATAGTAAATGATCATTAGGTAGGATTTTTGGCGTATTTACCGTATACCGTACCGCGGCCCTGGAACGCAAAGGGCATTTGAAGCGTAAGCTGACCGTCCATTGTACGGAAAGATCATACAAAGCGAGGCCAAGACAAAGGATTTGTACAGCTTGATGTGTAGCCTGATTGATTGGTTATTAACACTTACCTATTAAATAAAATCCTCGTAAATGAATTCCATTTTGATCAGCTTTTACATTAATCGTAAAAGCTAGAAGCACAACAGTGTCATTTCTCTAAATACACTAAGAATTCGCCTTTTGAGTTCGAACGTATTACGGAACTTAGTTGCATACACTCGGCGCTTCACTTCTCCCCAAAGATAAAAGTCCAGCGGGGTAAGGTCGGTTCATCGCCCAGGAAACTCCTCAACCAGCATAGCCCTGATTTGCAGCTGAAAATGTGCAGGGGCACCGTCATGTTGGTAGTAGAGGTTTCTCAGTGAACGAAGAGGCACATTTCCACTGCTCGTTTATGTTGGACTTGAATTTCAAATTTCAAAAAATTCTTGACTGTTTATGCAGAATTGAACTGAACACACCACGACCTGTCTGGTAAAGAATGCTGTTAGCCCGCCCTTTATTACCTTATTTAAAAAGGTTATAACAATGAAGTTCGAATAAAAATTCATGTGTACTGTAGAAAACATATTTATTAAATACAATGTTTTTTACTTAAAGTTCCTATTAGTCAAAATATTTACATAAAACTTTCTGCTTTTCTATTTTAGGTACTATACTACCGTCTTGCTGTTTAACATCGCGAGGATATTATGGAGACAAAAAATACAAATTAAATAAATAACTAACCCTGTAGCATACTGTAATCGATTTGGCAACGATTAAGTAAAATTACAACGCATTATCAGTGACAGTGTTTTGTTTAGAAAACCAATAACTTAACAAATTGTACGTATTTCACGAGTGTCATGTAATAGGAATTAATGAATAGTTGGGTACTTTAAATTAATGTCATAATTTTACTTTTAATTACGATTTTACTTAAGTATTTTAATATGGATTGAAAGTCGAAACATTTTTATTTTTGCGGCATAATTGTGGCGGTACCTAGTAAAAATTATTTAAGAAGCAATTTTGCATACCGCACAATTCTGCTCTATGAACCAAAAATTCAAAATAGGTCACAAAATTTCTTAAAGATAAGGGATTTGTACTTACATTGTTGTTACGTACAATTTCTAGAATATAATATTAAGTCGACACCTTTTGTAGCTCTCACAAACTTACAGAAAAACAATTGATGACAAGTTCTTCATACTGGTATTAAAACGTTGTAATATGCACTTTAGACACTAAAAATCACGGCAGTTCCGACACTGACTTTTTATTTACGCCTTTGAATAGTTTACAGCATGTTTTCTTGTAGGAACTTCTCCAACGCATGATAAAGATGTGGTCTAACACCAACCAATCCGTGATCTTCGTCTGTGTAACTCTGAAATACAAGATATTAAAAATACAACTTAAGTGTCAAATACATTTAAATAATTTATTGTTTTTAATAACGCCCGACAACAAAAGAGGGATGTTAGATGATTAAAGTGCATATCTGTTTTATTTGTGTTTCTGTGTTTCTGTGTCTGTGACATCGTAGCTCTCAAAGGGATGAACCGATTTAGATTTACTTTTTTTCTGTAAGGTGACTTTATCCAGTGTTCTTAGTTATGAATTTTTTTTTCATGTTTGAAAATCATTAGCTTTTTGTTTTGGGAGTCTTTAAAATTTTAAATTTAATATTGTTTTCTCTTGTTTTTTTTTTGGTGTAATAAAGTATATTTAATTAAATTACTCAATAAGTAAAAATAGACAGAAAAAGATCTAGCTTTTACTTATTATTTAATAAGTGTGCCTTGTGGTAGTAGCGTTGTTGAATCTATCATCTCTTTCTGTCCCTGTAGGTGTAGGTGGAAATACCAAATGCCAAAATGATCTCAAGGATTCCGTCGAATATATATAGTGCGATACCCATCCGTACACACTAGACGTAAAATACCATTGATTTATATATTAGTTAGTTATTATAGATCAGTAATAACCGCGTCAAAGCGTTCCCACTGCACATATGGCCACAGCCATATGCCTAGCTAACGTCAGTTCAGTGTCCAATGTGACGCCGACAGCGTTGAGCCGCGACAAAAAATGGGTAAATTCGTAGTGAAAGAATGCTATTCAAGGTCACAAAAACCTTCAACACATAATTTTTAGTTGTTGTTTCCACATAAACGTAAAAAACCTCAAATAATTAAATAAAACTATCGAATATTGCCATTTAGGTTCAATGTTGCCACTTTTCCGCATTTGTAATTATCCTACATTAATGGGAGACTGCATAATTAATGAAGTAAGTTAATTTGTTACCTCTGATTTTAAATATTTTGGAATTTATATTAATCCGTTTTAACTTTCATACAAAATAATTATTCTTATTTTAGTTTATTCATGAATTATCTATTAAATATATTTTATTACCTATTTTATATTAATAATTTTATATTAATTATAATTTCATATAGATTTTATATTAATTATATTTTATTACCTATTTTATATTGTTTGATTTATTAGTACAATAAAAATACTTATAAAAATATGTTTTATTTCTTCATTATATTTACTTCTATTCATCTGATAAGCTTTGTATCTTTTTTTCTAAGGGGACGCAATAAAGATTTTAAAATAAAATATACTTTTGTAATATAAAAACAATTAACTGCTGCTTAAAAAAACTTTTAACTACATTTTTATTGCGTATTTTAGGTAAAATTTTATATAGTAAGCCACACCAACCCGCCATTGCATGTTTTTGTGTCTATCTTTATCTAATCTTAGCAACGATATTGTTTTCGCAACTTGTGTAAGTGGATGGATATATGTTTATTTAAAATTGTTATTAGTTTCAAAGCTACGTCGTCGCGTTTGGATAGTGGTTACACTTTTTTCGACGCGCGGTAATGTGGTTTGCTCCTCTAGTGTTGTATAACTCAATGTAAAATACTAAGACCGATGACAGGTAGCAGCATTGATTATGTACGTAGTACCTGTTGAGTTATATGTAATAACTCAATGGGGAGCATTATAAAATTTGCCAGACGTCTGGCACTGCGGTTGCCTTTGGATCAATAGATTCGCGAACGTGACCGACATGGCGTTGAGGTGTGACGTCATTTGCAATACGTAGTAAAATTATATCGCGGCAACTGAAGTGCAACGCTTAGTGTAATGCCATGAGAAACGTCAATGTCCATAAACGCAACAATTATTGCCTCAATATTTAACGCGATAAAGTGAGTTGTACGTCGTTTCAATTTCAACGGCGTTAAATGTTTTTGTTAAATATTCCTTGAATTTCAAGCAAGATGGACGTTGGCTACTCTACATTTTATGAGTGTAAGTGTATATTTTTATTATATGAATATATTTCATCATTGTCAAACGAAGAAAAAAGAATACAAAGAAAAAGAAGATGGTAGATGCTACAAATGCACAGGAAACGTACACTGTAAATTTATTTATGTTTATTAATTTAAATTCTATTTTGTTTTCCCGCACCCAAATTGCACGAGAAAGACGTCCAATGGTAAGCCAAGCCATGCGCACTTTTGATCGTACAATACCTACCGTACGTCCGCCAAGCAGTGATCTAATTTGATCAGAATTATGTAAACATGTGTACCTATGAAAAAACTATTTTTTCGTTTTAAACAAAACCAAAGACACTATGCAATAGATAATAGTATCAAAGACAAAGATATGCTCTTTTATTTTAAACCATAACCTGGCAATGTTTCTTAGAAAAAAAAAAAAGAAATCATTCCGAACTTTCGGCGTTCCACGTGCCGTTTTGATGAAGGTGCTCCGTCTTTTTTTATAGAATTTTATATTTGTGTCTGGACTAAAAACGAAATTATTATACTTTTTTATATTCCTTGTAATACAGTGAACACATATATATATAATTTGTGGTATAAAAAGTGAAAAGTAAATTACCAAAAGTGCTTCAAAATCTGGAGGGCCCATTATGGCGGCTGGGTCATAAATGTGGTATTTTTCAAATTCTCATTTATTTTTAGTGTAAAATGTAAGTAAAAATAGTTTTCTTACATATTTCAAATAACTTGACGTTGTATTTATTTCAAATTCACACAAAACTATTTTAGAAATATTGTTCTAATTGTCACACAGATAAAATATTATTATTTTATTTTTTTTAATTTCTTTATATTTTAATATTTTGGTATGAGTAACGAATGGAAACACATAAAACATAAAAATATACATATTTCCAAACATTTTCATATAAATTTCTCTAAAAACAAAAGTGTAGAATTCAAATTAGTAGTAATTTTGTCACTAAAATTGAAGTATATACCACTATACAGCTATACAGGGTAATTTACGTATTTTATTACAATTTCTAGCAACCAAAAATAATTTTATTCGATAGTTTATACATTCAACAAGAATTCCTGTAAGTTTTATCCATAAATATTGTCTCAAAGTGAAAATATAGCAAAATTTGCAATATAGCAAAAAATTTGCTAATTTTCAAATTTTCCCGCCATTACGGTCCCGAGCGCACGGGAGTATAACATGTCGCGCGCTGTCAGAGCTTACAGGTAGCTAAGTAATAAGACAAACGTAAATATATTTCAATGAAATAATAACTAATAAGCCAATCATAAATACCGGTCAAGTGCGAATTAGATACACGAACCCAAAGTTTCGTACCACTATACACTATGTATTTCGATCTGCAATTTTTTTTCTCTCGCTTATTTTTCTTAATTTCATACCGTAAATTAAAGTGTACTTTTGAAGTAATTTTTTTATTCAATCCCGAGAAACTTTTTCATTAATCCACTCCATCGTAGCCATACGCGCAACCCCGTGGCACTTACCGTGCACAATGAGACAAACTTAGTGTGGCCGCTTCAACGCGATAATTCGCGCGTTAATCCTTTGATGTACCGCCACTCGAGTTATCGCCAAACGGGAAACGGCATTGTTAATGCCGTTGTCAAATTATCGCGTTAATTCGTGGCCACACCTACATTCAACGTCCATCAACGCGATAATTAACGGCATTTTTCGTTAGTGTAGCCGCATCATAAAACTCATTCGCTTTGTTGCGTATGAAAAATACTTTAGGCTATTTCTTAACGGGGATATTAGAAAAAACGGAACAACAATGCAAATTATACGTAATCTACTGCTTTCGGCTCCCCGAATAAGATTTTACGGTTGTCCTTTCTGGAAACACTAACCTCAATCATAAACTTCCCTATAATGTCAACCCGTGGGTGTCGTAAGAGACGATAGAATAAAATATAACAGGAGATGAGTAGCGGCAACTTCCTCGTAACAACTCAAAATAATAAAAAAAACCTATGTGGTAATCTCCCGTAGATATCTTATCCCGGAAGTACTTTTGATATCAACAAACAAAGACGTATCTCACCATACGTCGTACCTCAAAATCCATTAAGATTTTAAAACTGTAGGAGGCCACAAATGAACAGACATACATACTGATATGTGTGCTTGCAACCGAAAAGCGTAACCCTTCTTCTTTGCAATCGGGTAAAATTAAAGCGTTTTTAGTTAACGAGAAAGAGCTACAAAAGTGTTGTTTACTCCTGCAAATACACCTGCCTAACGTGGTGATTACAGTCTTCCGTACAATTTTTTGAATTAGAAGGAGACAGATTCTTAACTATTTCCTTTACTTAACATGATGAAGGTATTGTTTTCAGGGATAAATTTACCATTTGAGTGAAATATACATCTTGTCGCTGCAACAGCCTGGATATCAGCATGGCGTGCTGATAGTGAACGTTGTCGTCGGCTGTGCCGTGAATCAAGAAGTAGCGTTTGTTACGATACGCCTCCACCTACAAAGATTAAGTTACAATTATGCAGGTAAACAAAGAAGTTTGGGAGAAGTTATATTACGACTCGGTAGTGCAGTACGTAGTTGAGCCATGCTGCAGTTATATTAGCAGTATAGTTGTAGCACTTATGGGTCGGCTCGACCTGGGAAGGACCACGCTCTCACAGAAATTCAGCTTAAAATAGCAGCTTAATGCTGCTGTGTTTCGTATGTTGAGTGTAGAGAATCGGAGACCGTTTTTACTGGAAACGAAGCATTTCATCTTAGTCCTCACGGGTGGACAAAACTTCTGCATTTTGATTCGTAATCGAGGATAGATGTAGATGTCTATAGGCCACAGCAACTACGTACCATCAGGTGGACGGTGAGCTCGTTTTTCACCCTATCCTATAAAAAATAAATTTTTATATTTGTCTACAAACAATTGTTGCAAATTCTAGGTGATAGGACTATATTACTGCCTAGGATTTCATCGTGGACTATGTTTATGCCTAGGATTTCATCGTAGGACTACCGTTTTTCTGCCTAGGATTTCATCGTAGGATTATATGTTTGCGTAGGATTTCATCGTAGGACTATATTTATGCCTAGGATTTCATTGTAGGACTATGTTTCTGCCTAGGATTTTATCGCAGGACTATACTTCTGCCGAGGATTTCATCGTAGGACTGTATTTCTGCCTAGGATTTCATCGTAGGACTATGTTTCTGCCTAGGATTTCGTCCGGGTGGGTACCATCTCCTATCTATTTTAGTCACCCAATAGCAATACTTTTACTGCGAAGTTCAGTCTGAAAGGTATTAGAAAGCCAATATAATTACAGACTATGAGGCATTCCATCTTAATCCACAGAGGTGATATCGCATCTGTAGCCTTCTTTGTAGAGTTAATTGCATGTATACAGACATTAACCACTTACCATCAGGTTTTTTTTAAAATAAGGGTGACAAACGAGCACACAGTCCACCTGATGGTAAGTGGATGCTGTGGCCCATAGACATCCACATTTATCCTTAATTAAGAATCAAAACGCAGATGCCTTGTCATCCCTAAGGACTAAGATGGAATACCTCTTTTCCAGTAAAAAAGGGTCTCCGGATCTCTACACCATACGAAACACAGCCGTATTAAGCTGCTATTTTACGATGTTATTCTGAGAGAGCATGGTGCTGCCCCGATCGAGCCATCCCACTGGTGCTGCAACCATAATATAGCTGCAGCGTGGTTCTACTACGTATGCACATTAAGGACATTAATTTCGTTTGGCACTCCATTTTCATTTTTGTCCAATTTACGAAAAGGCTCATGCGGCATGTAACCCGCGGCCTGCAAACGCCGCCAGCCTAAAGGGTCACTGCACTTCCGAGCCATCTAAAATGTAATGTTACCTACCAAATCCAAGGTCAGAAGCGAAGAATTCGCATATGCTTGCGCATTGTTCTGCGGTGTGTCCATGTACCGTTCAGTGTAAATTGTATCTGAAACAAAACGATCAAAAGTCAAATTATCAAGATCCAAATAAGTTCTGCTTAGATACCTGGTAATATATTGTTTAGCTAAGATAGCTATAGCTATATAAGAAGCCGTGGTAGCTCAGGGGATAAGTGCTCATTGTAAATTTCACAGTACGCGAGTAAATTTCACAACCCGAGTTTGATCCACGCCGGCAACAATGAAATTATTAATTGCAATTTGAAGTGCTGATATACTACGTGCTCGGCGGTGAAGGCAAACGTTGTGAGTAAACCTACGTGTCCGAAAAATGAGAAAAAAGAAAACTATTTTGAAGACATGTGAAGTTCGGCAACGAAAAGCGACAGCGCCGTGGACACTTCCATGCCCTTAAACCCTAACAGAAATGAGAGGCCTGTACCCAGCAGTGGGAAGTATATAGGCTGTTGCTTTACTAAGATATGGAAAAAGAAGCAGGTTTAAAGAATCCATTACGACATATATTAGTATCGTATATCGTGTCAAAATTCATACCATCTTTACCATTTGTATGCTTGGTGGTCCACCACTGTAAATTTTACTAGGAGTTTTCCTCCTTGTTCGCTTGGCTTCTCTGTAGAATTTTTTACCACCAGCGCTTTTTCCGGACCGATACGACTTAGGAAACTTCAAGAATAGAGCTTACTACTTTTCAAAAAATGGCAACGCACCTGCAATTCCGCTGGTTTGATGTCTTCTTCATGTGTCTTTTAGGCACATGGAGGTTTCGGGCCTCGGGGTAAGCCCCCATTACCCGTGCTGTCCTCGCGGTCCACTACTATGGACCGGTCCTGGGAGCCTTCTAATGGCGTTGTAGGTGTCAAAACGGTTGTCGCTATCGGTAAATTTTTTCGTAGTCGATTATGACTACGAAAAAAGGAGGTTATCTAATGAAGTCGGAGTTGGCGTTTCAGCGGCATTGAGGGTTGTTACTCGACTCTCTAATCGATATAGAGAGGAGTTCTCTTGGATAGGGTCGCCCGTCCGGAGGGCGAGTGTGTAGCGGCGTAAAGTTGTTAAGGTGTATATGCGGCCCGTTGTCTGCACGGTCGAACAGTCCGCGCGCCAACCGGGCCACAAATTCCTGTATGGTGTCGATCTTCAGGTTGGCCGCTATGACGTCATTCCGGACGTAGCGACCCGCACCGACGATGGTTCTTAACGCCATATTTTGCTGGGCCTGCAGTCGCCGCCTCAGAGGCTCGCTCAGAAGCGCGTACCAGGCCGGAGCAGCATAGGTGATAATGGCTTTGATGTAGGTTTTATATACTCGCACTTTGGTGTTAAGTGGTAGCTTGGATGCCAGGACCGGACGTAGCATCGCCCGCGCACATCGTGCTCTACGGACGACGAGGTCGACGTGCGCAGTCATGCGCAGCGCCCGGTCGATCCGGCACCCAAGGTAGGTCACGGCCTTCTCGTACGCGATCTGCTGGCCATTGAGGGTTAATTGAGGTGGTAGGTTCCTGAGGCGGCGAGTGAGCAGAGCGGTCGTCTTACCAACGTTGACGACCATCCTCCACTCATCTAGCCATGGTGGCAATAGGTCCAAGAGGTGTTGCATCCTGGCAGCGGCAATATGGGCTCTTCTGGAAAAGGTGAAATAAGCGCTATCGTCCGCATATAACGCCAATTCCACGTCGTCCTCCCATTCTTGCAGCCTGCCTGCCAGGGTAGGGATGTCGTTGGTATAAGCCGCGTACAGGACTGGAGACAAACAGCTGCCCTGAGGAACGCCGGCTCTGATGGTTCTGGTTGCGGACTCGGCGCCCTCTACGCAGACGTAGAACTTCCTGTCTGCCAGGAAAGACGCCACTAGCCGCAACATAGCAGGAGGGACACTGGTCTGTTCTTCTAATTTAAAAAGTAATCCAGAATGCCACACCCTGTCGAACGCCTTCTCGATATCGAGAAAGACGCCCAACGTAGTGCGGCCACGGTTGTAATCGGCCGCAAGCAGGTGCAGCACTCTGGTCAGCTGTGTTGCTGTAGAGTGACCCCTCCTGAATTCGTGCTGCTCCGCCCGAAGTTGGATGCACGGGCGGAGGCGTCTTAGCAACAATTTTTCAAGCAGTTTAGCTATGTGTGGTAGCAGCGTGATCGGCCTATAGCTGGCAGCTCTACGCCTGTCCTTCCCGGGTTTCGGCAAGACGATTACTTTGCCTTTCTTCCAGTCCTCCGGGAAGTGGGATGTCCGCATTATCCCATTGTAGAGTCGACCAAGCTCTACTAGGACTCTATGGGGCAGCTGTCGGAGTGCAGCGTTGGTAATCCCGTCGTGCCCCGGCGCCTTCCTCGGTTGCAGGCGGGTTGCTGTCCATCGCAGTTCAGCGGGGGAGATGAACCACTCTCCTGCAAGAGGCGGCGCGGGTGACGACAGGAACTCCTGTACGCGACTCTCCTTTTGGGCATGAAGCTCCAAGAACTCCGCACTTGCTGGGTTCGGCATAAATTGCTCCTCGAAGTGCTCGACTAGGATATCCGCTCTACCCTTGGCATCGTAACGACGTTCGCCCGCGTAGTTGGTCAGCGGGCAAACGGGAGGTTTGGCTTTAGTTAACTGCCGGTTCAGTTTGTAGAGCGACGCATCGTGCTCTTCCGCCTTCCATATGCGCCGCTCCCAGGCATCTCCTCTGTGTGCCTGGACTGCAACCGACAGTTCCTCCGACAAGGTGTTCAGTTTCGTTTTGATTCTCGGGCAGCGAGTACGCGCCCAGAGTCTCCTTAGGGCCCTTTTTCTCTTGATCTGCACGCAGATGTTATGCGGCAGATCATCCCTTCTGGAGGACATCGGGACGATCGTAGAGGCAGCATTGAGGGCCTCCTGTATCGCCTTTGTCATGTAGCAGCCAGATAAATCAAACCTAAACGGGAATAAATAATATATACTCCGCTGCTACCATAACGCGGAAGGCGAGAATAAATAAAAAAACATTTTATTTCCTAATTATTCTTGGCTACTGAGATACTGCGGACTGTATATAGATAATTTGACGTTCTTATAAAGAAACAAGAAGCAGCCGCAAATATCATTCAGCGCCACACCGACTTCACACGCCGCTATCGTCACGTATCCGTCGACCAATGGTGAGCCGTTTCTTCAACGCCGCAGTTCGTTTCCTCTTGCTGTTCCGGAGCTGTATTTCACACCGCCGCCGCCTGCCGACTACGCGTGCGCACCGATCTGCATGTCTTATATAGCCCGGTCCAGCGACGTAGCTTCATGAACAACAAACAAGTCTCACGCCGGGAAACGAAACGTAGATAATTGTATATTTTAAATAGTTTTCATTGGTCATAAAATAAGCAATATAATTGGCTAGGCAAAATATTAATTGTTACCATTGGCAAATCAATAGTGAGCCAGCCATATAAATATAGGCAAGGTTGATGCAAAAGATATTCCATTCCGAATCCCATTCGACAGTACATTCATAAACATAAACAGTAGTTTCATTTCTTAAAGAAAACCACTCGGAGTCTGTTAATAGTGAACAGTTCGTCTCCACTATTACAGTGGTGACCCCGTACGAACACCGAGGGGGGAAGATCCGGTACGAACACCAAGAAGGAACACCCTGCGACGTACCACTACTATTGCACGAACACCGCGAAGGAAACCCGTACGAACACCGAGAAGGAAGACTTCAGTTTATATAAAATCAGTGTAATCAAGCCGTCATTATGGAGCAGGAGGCAAACACATATACATCAAACCCGGTAAAGGAACCAGAAATCGCCGGTATATCTCTATCGTTAAGAATAGCCGCAACGAATGGTTTAAAGAAGAGCCAAGCGCAATTAGCACAGATGGTGATAGCCCAACTTGAGAAACAAGACATCGAACAAATTGCGGACCTGTTGTACAACCCACCAGCAGTCGACCAGTATAATTCACTGAAGGATCGTCTGATCTCCGCATACGAAGAATCCGACAGTCGACAGCTACAAAAACTTCTATCAGAAATAGAACTTGGAGACCAGAAACCCACACAACTCCTACGCAAAATGCGTACTTTGGCGCGAGATAAAGTTCCGGATTCAACACTACGGCTAATGTGGGTAAACCACCTACCACCACATATTCGATCGGTAATAGCAGTCAGCGAAACATTCAGCACGCAGACGAAGCTCGACGAACTGGCACTCCTGGCGGACAAGATGATCGAAAACAGCAGTAGCTCACACATATCGATCATCGAAGGCACTTCAACAAAGGCCAATGATACCCAGTTTCTTCTCGAAGAAATTCGGAAGCTATCATTCGAAGTCGTTGCGCTCAAAGCTTCCCAGCATCATACCTTTTACCAGCAACAGTACAACCAGCGCAATCAGCAACACCGAAGATCACCTTTTCGTCGCAACCGCTCTGCAAGTAGAAGTCGAATAAGCTCAACATCAAGATCCCCTTACTGCTACTATCATCGACGTTTCGGGGTCGAGGCAAGAAAATGCACAGCACCGTGTACATTCAAAAATGAAAATACGAATACGGAAAACTAACTAGTACGCTCGATGCGACGGGATCCAGCGTAATAGCAAAGTCCTACCGTCTTTTCGTCACCGATAAAAAAAGCAAGCTTACTTTCCTTATCGACACCGGAGCAAATATCTCAGTGTTACCGCCGAAGCAAGGACAGAAGTTGAAGCCACTAGATTTTCAACTCTATGCAGCAAACAATACGGTTATTCCTACATATGGAGAAAAAACAATGGAACTTGATTTTAATCTACGCCGACCATTCAAATGGAGATTTATCGTCGCTAAAGTCAGCAAACCAATCATCGGTGCTGATTTTCTTCAACATCACCAGTTGGTCGTCGACATCAAAAATAGAAGAATCATCGACGGGAAAACCAATCTTGCATCTCAGTCTTTTGTACAAGCAACCAATCTGCCCACAATAAGAAGCATAGATGTGCAACAACCGTATCACAAGATCCTCGAAGAATACCCTGGTATCACAAGAATAACTTCAATGAAATT